TTCACGCAATTAATTTTTTTAATTGAGTCCCACCACTAATAATAACCACTAGAAATCCAAACAGATATATCTTCTATATGTTCACGTTTGAACTGCTGACACTGTGCCATTTATTCCAAAGTATCTGTTGTATGTTCTAAAAGCTCTCCCTGCCCTATTATGCCAGCAGATCAACTTCCATAGTGTAGGTTCAGGGCTCCCTATGACAGGGCTGTCTGAAACGTGCTTTACTCATGATTGTCTTAGAATGGGAATTAGCCATAATCATCATACTCAAGATCATCAATCCCTAGTAGCTGTTTAAAGAACAAACATGTAATACATACAAATGAAAATATATATATATTTTTACTTTAAAATGTTCTGCTCTTCATATTTCTTTAAAACCACAAACCTGCTAATGTTATTTGTTTTTATTGGAAACTATACTAATGGAATTATTGAACCTGAAACAAAATTTATTTGCCTCTGTTTGCACCTTGATGTGTGATGCCTTTTCAGAAAGTATCCCAGCATCCTGTCGGATGAGGAGAGGGACCAGTATAAGGCCGTCTTCAATGACCAGTATGCTGAATACAGAGAGCTTCATGCTGAAGTCCAGATCATGACTAAGAAGTTTGAAGAGATGGATGAGATGATGCAGAATCTCCCCTCGAGGCCCTCAAGTCAAATGGTACACCTCCCACTCAGTCACTATAGACAAAACTGGACATAGACAAAATGCTTCTGCCCATTAATCCTTTCATTTTCTTTCAGGAGAAAGAACGGATTAGTAGCATCTTATCGGAATATCAAAGGAAGAAAGCTGTGAGTACATGTAAAAATAGATTTATAGCCAATTCGTTGCCACACTTATTATGATCAAGTCTTTTCACGCTCCAATATTTATATGGCTCCAGTTGACAATAAATATCATCTGAGGGGACATTATAAGACAAATAAAGATTTGATTGAACTTATCAATGTTAACATTTCTATAGTCTACAAACCATACTTAGCTGCAACATCATAAGCGTTCTATTCTTTAATTACGTGAAGAGTTGTTTCTGACACTGATTCATTTCCTCTTCTACTCATTTTCTTGTCAGGACCCAACCTATTTGGAAAAAAGGGAACGTTGTGAGTATCTAAAAAGCAAGCTATCCCACATCAAACAGAAGATTCAGGAGTACAACAATACCATGGACTAGGGTGTGAGAAACATTAATGTCTGTAGTCACTTTCTTTAAAAATACTTTGTTGTATAAAAGACCAATTAAAGTTAATAACTTGTATCTGCTCATTGCTGTGCTGGGCCATTGTATTAGCCTGCTTGAAAGATTCCCATCATATAGATGTGTGCTTCAGGAATGGAAACATGGATCGATTTCATTTGAACCTGTCTGTACTAACACATGGAATGGTGTATTCAGCAAAGTGTGGGCAAGGTTACACTGAGGAAAACATTTTATGTGGATGTAAAATACACATAAACATAACTTGTTGCTCATTGAACACAGATACATCCGGGATCTTAACTTCACGTCTGCTTGATGATGAACACACAAAGGTCAATGTTCACTTTTAATCAGAATACAGAAAGAAAAGAAAATGCAATCTGTCAGATATAAATGTAGAAATGAACACATTATCAGTTTCAACAGTGATTTAAATCTAACCTTAAGAACACACATGTCACCATGTCAACATCAATGAACAAACAGAACAGAAAGATTACAAAAAATTAAGTACACTGCTGAAACTCTGGAAATGTTCAAACCATGCAAACGCCTATAATTTCTTACTACCATGAATGTATTTGCAGCTGTGTTTTATGGTGAAGCAGCTCATCTGTTGTATTATATAGTGAAATATAATGCCTTTTCAAACACTGAACCAAACCCTGTGGTGTAGTTCTTGCAGACTATCAAGATCAGGACTGATGCAAAATGTGAGATTTCTCCTGTTTTCAGTGCAACTCTACTGTTAACTTTACTTTTAAATTGTATATGTGTGTATTTTGTGTCAGATGTGGTTTGTTTTATAACCTAGTGGGTTTTTTTTTTATAAGAACTCTACTTTGTCCCTGTTTTTCTTTGACAGCAATGCTGTAAGGACTGTGTGTCAGTCCAGCCACTTAAGGCAGTCAGCAGGCACCTATTAATTGATCAACTTATTTAATATGTACAAACACAAATGTAGAAAGATATGTTTGTAAAATTGTAACTTTAAATTTTTTATTAAGAAACAAAAGTTCTTTATTTTTAAGGTGCATTCCAAACTTTGCTCTGCAATTCACCTACCTTTTATCTATGTTGAGCTGCTTCAATGGCACTCAAAAGATACAGAGGTTTGGGAAATTGACCACTAACTGATCTTTTTCCAGTTGTGGGGTTTTGTACTGTTCCCATTGCATCAGCATTGCCATTGGGATTTTTGTCAAGTTGAAAATAAAACTCCCACTAACAATTTACTTCCAAGATTGCATGGTTATTTAAAACCTACTGGTATTTTTCTTGATTTGTATTTGATGGAATATAAATAATAGATAGAAATTAGGCTGGAGATCACAATGGCTCACAGATTACTGTACACACACACATGCACACACACTGACCTCTTTTCTTGCACTATAACAAGTAAACCTAAAGTTCTGAATATATTTCTTCATAAAATTGTCATTAAAATCTCAGATTAAATGTCTGATACTTTTATCTTTTTCAGATTAGTTAAGTCTTGAGACTTTATTTGATTCTATATAATGTTGCTATACACCTCTTTTGAACATAAGATTGTATGACTTAATGGAATTTATTTTGTAAAAATAAAGGTTAAATAAATAATAAAAAAGCTACATTTCTTGGTTGACAAGAAATGTAGACTAGCCCACCTTCCTAGTGTTGTAAGCATCTTAAAAATAGATTTTTTTAAGCATTAACGTGGTCATGGTGATCTGAGATTTTTGAAAAAGAAGTCATTGTCCAAAGGAAATATTATAAATGCCTTTGCTTCTTCTTCGTCTTATTTATTAATTTATTATTGTTATTATCTTTTTTTATTTTAATTTTTCACCACTTTAAGAGGTATAATACGGAGCCCTCCAGGGGACATGGGGAATTTTTTTTCTTTTGCGTTCCCTCGCAATAATCTACTGATCATAATTGGTACTGTAAGCCTTTTTTACGGTGGACGCCGTACTTTATGCTTTAATACAAGCTTATAAGGTTTTTCCATGGACTATTGAGTTATTATCGCGGGGTAATATTGTGTCTCTATTGTGTTCGTAGTCTGAATGGTTTAAATGGCTGTTTTCAGTACCTAATAGACAAACATGATTTTCAATCAGTTTTTTTGCACCAAAGCGTTAATAATAATAAACATGTTTTCACTGAGGCTCTATAAGAGTCTAAAATAAGTAATTATTGATATGACAGGAGCAGCGGCTTTGACACCTGGTGGTGGGCATGTCGATGTGGGTGTGACGTCATCAAGTATGAATGGGAAGGTTACTGGCTGCTGCTGGTTCTGTGTGTATGAGGAAGTGGGTGAGCGGGGTGGTCAGTCCTCGCAAAGTTTGGAGCATGATAATAAAAAATTAAATAAATCGATAATTGTGACAGAACAAAGAAGAGGTTAGGAGTTGACTGATACACGGACAGATGAGATTCTCTGAGTTAACCCAGTGCGGCCCTCTACCACCATTAGTTTGCTGTGTTTTATAATAATAAAACGTGTTTATTATATTAACTCTTTGGTTCAAAAAACTGATTGAAAATCGATTTATTTACTGCATGTTTATGTCTGTTCAGGCTCAGATGGAACAGAAAGCAGCACTTTAAACCATTCAAACACGAACACAATGGAGACACAATCAGATGACTGATTACCCCGCGATAATAACTCAGAAATAGTCCAAATAGTTTGGATGTATTTTTATTTCTTTCCTACTAACGGAAAGTTTCTGTTTATATCATAGGTTTGTTGTGCCTTTCTGTACTAAAGAAAAAGATATAAAACGTTGGATATTTCACAACGAGATATTAACATTCATGGAAAAACCTTACATAAGTTTGTATTAAAGCATAAAGTACGGCGGCCACCGTAAAAAAGGCTTACAGGATTCAATAATGCCGCATGAACTGATCAGTAGATTATTGCGAGGGAACGCAAAAGAAAAAAAAAATCCCCATGTCCCCTGGAGGGTTCCGTAGTATAAAATGTATTTCTGGTAGGAATAAAATTTATTTGATGTTGGGACTTGAGCAGGAGAAAATTTTTCTTTCTGTGAAACTGGTTTTTAAAAATGTGCTGTGCAGAAATTGCAGAAAATTTTGTAGTTTTTTTCTGTTAAAAAATGGTTCAAACTGTGTGGCTCATGGTGTGTGGACTCTGTAAAAGTTGTAGATGTTGTCAAACGTGTGTCTGAACTGCTCTCAAAATGGCCGTTTAAGGTTTTTTTTTCTCTTTCCATAAAAACCTGAACGGCCGGTTTTGTCAGTTGGGGACAGTTGTTCTCCTTGTAGGTTTCGCAATGCTTAATTTCGCTGGCCCCCCGCAGACCCGGAAGGTCTTTTTTCTCAGATTACTAGTAATAAGGTGTCTCTGTTTTAGGTTATATAAAAATTCGTTTTAGCATTTAAATCACCTATAGCATTTATTAATTCTGGAATGAATACAATCGCTGCGTACTTATGGTAAGTTGAAAAATCATGACTAAAAATAAAAAATCCTACATATTCAGAGTAAAACTGCTGTGTGACCTTGTCTGTTCTAAAAGTCTTGACAATTTTGTGGACATAATGTGCTGTTCATTTCAACGAGCTAAAATTAAGACTGGTTTTCCGACTGAAACTAGTCAGAAAAATAAAAGCTGAGACAGAAGAAGCTTTCCTGGAGTGGGAAGCGCAGCTACTGGGAACTGTAGAGGAGCACACCTTTTCCTTTTATTTGGAGTGACAGTGTTATGACTATCTTTATTAACACCTGTTGTGGAGTGAGGACAGGATAGTCCTGTGTGGCATCAGATCACGTGATGCAAGCGCACCTGTAGAGGCCAGGTTTGGAGTACCTGCGCGCTGGGCGTGGATGGATGTTGGTTTGCGACTGCGCATATTTGGCTTGTTATTCTTGGACGACGCCACTCGGTTGTTCAGGATCAGCTTTATCACAAGGTGGGTCATTTTTTAATCTTACTGTGATGATTTGATGACCAAAAGTATTCTAATTAAGGCATAGCTTATTTCAATGGATTACTTAAACAGTTTCCGGGGTTTTTTTCTTTAATTTATTTATTTTTACTGAGGCCTGTGAATTTTCGCCTGAAGTCAGTCCATTGTTAGCCACACTTTTTAATGCGACTCGGTTACAAGGTAGCAGAAAAACTAGTTTGCTATTCTTTCAGTAATAGTGTCATCTGAACTTTAGCCATAGCATCACGGAGTCCCTTGAAAAGTTTATTTTAGCCTGTGCTCTATAAAAGAAACCTACTGTGTATTTCATGTAATCCAGCGTAACAGACCTATCTCTGTTACTTTTCTGAATGACAGCATTTGTAGGCAACATTTATTTAGTTTTAAGCAGTTTTTTTAACCGCAGCCATGCTCGGGTCCAAACAGCAGCCTTTCCTTTGTGCTCTTGAGCAAGGTCAATATTTGGAAGGGGGCATCCATCAGACTGCTTCATTCACTTGCCAAACACAAATAGAAACTTTATCATAAATATTTATCGTAACAGCTCTAAAATTTAAATGGACATGCATTTAAAAAAATTACTGTATGTAAAGTTCATCTGTAAATTACAATGCATTAAGAAAGTATTCACACCCATTCACTTCTTCACACCTCCATGGTATAATGCTACCATATGCTTCAAAGTGGGGATGGTGTTAACCATGTGATTTAAAACATAGCTGTTTATGTCCTTAAATGACACCTGGAGTTCAGGCCCAAAAGATCTAGTTTGGTTTCACCAGACCAGAGAATTTTGTTTTTCCTGGTCTAACAATTTCTGAAGTGTGTTTTCAGAGGTCATAAATGCGACATTAGTGAAATGGTTTAACAATGTTTGACCTTACAGATCTGGGCTGTCAAACACTAGTTTTAGAGGGCTTGTGTCCTGAAACTATTAGATGTGTCTCTGCTTCAACATGCTTGAATCAAATGATAAGGTGATTAGCAGGACTCTGTACAACTTGATTGGATGATGAGTTCATCCAGCAATCCAATTCTGGGTGTGTTTTACCTGGGACATATTTAAGAGTTACAGGACACAATATCTTGAGGACTGGAGGTTGACAAGCTGGTTCTAGATTTTTCTGTTACCTCCACAAGTTAACACCATATGTTGTCATTGGGTTTTTGGCCAACTCTGATCAAAACCCTTCTTCCTTGAATACTTAGTTTGCTCAGGCAGTCAGATCTAACTTCTTATATTTGCAGTCTTTTTGGGATGCTTAGTGCTTTCAAGATCTTTTGTATCCTTCTACACATTTGTCCTCTGGCAAATATGCTCTCATATGTCTACAGATAATGCGTTTGACTTCATTATTTAGTTTCTGTTGTGATATGACAACCTGTGTACTACAAGTCACATTGTAGTACTGAATGATGTTTCTACAATGTTTTTCATTGGTCATTCTGAAAAGTATTTTTAATGTACATTGTCTGCTTTTATAGAAAACTCTACTCAAAATAACTTAAGAATAATCCAAATCAGTTCATTTATATAGCGCCAATCCAATTCACAATAAATGTCTTAAGTGCTGTACAAAAAATCCCATTTCAATTCAATGACGTACATTCCAAATGAATGTTATCAAACAATACAATGTGTTCAAGTAATTATTAAAAATAGATTAAAAAGTTTCTATCAGGAAGAAACGTCCAGCAGAATCAGAACCGGGCTTAGTACAAACGCCTATCTGCCATGACAGACTGGGGTTTGAGAAGACAGAGCAGAATGCACAAGAAACAGATTAACTGATTTAAAATTGTTTTCAATGTTAACAGCAGGAGAGGGAGAATGGTTAGTTAATGACATGGTTATCTCAGTCGATGCCATCCTCCAGGAAGGAATTGCAACCCACTACATACATAACTGAGAAAACAAAAGTTAACAGTTGAAATAACCATAAATAATTCAAATTGGAGTAGAAGAAGACAAAGAGAATTTGAAAAGAGTAAAGCACTGAATACTTTCTGAATAAACTATAGTGCTTGTTATTTTTAATTATCAGCCCTTGAAGATGAGCAACTTAGTGTATTTTAATAGGCAAAAAAGAAAAAAATCAAAAGAGAAGTTGAATAAAATATCTTCAACATAAACCTTAATGGTTGTTAGTTCCCTGTAGCATTGAATGTCAGTTCTTATGAATAGCAAAAGGTTACCTCAGGTCTTATACAAACATTTGCTCTGTTTCCTCAAGTCAGGAGGATTGTGCTTTTTTCTAAGAAGTTTGAGATCCAGAATCATTCCAGGATGCCAAGCCACCGGCACAGCAACCATCTGTACCCACCAAGTGGAAGTAAACAGTGAGTGGTCACACTTTTACCTCATTCTATTTCTTTGCTCTTTTTAGGTCTGAGCATCATACATCACACATTTCTTTCCCATTGTAAATGGGTCAACTTTTAATATCTTTATAAACTTACAGTTAAAATCAGACGTTTACCTACACAGAATAAAAAGACACATGTAATCTTGTTTTAGGTTGGTTAGAATTACCAGAATATTTTGCTAAATGCCAGAAACTTTAACATTTTTTTGTAGATTTTTTTAAAAAAAAATTTGTTTCTTTCTTTTGAATTCACAAGTTTATAAGAACTTGGTCAGTACCAGAGATAACTGTCTTTTAAACTGAATGACTTGTGTCAAACCTTTTGAGTTTCCTTTCACTAGCATCTCAGTTTACTAGAATTTTGGCCCATTCCTCCTCATAGAACTGATATAATTTACTTGTTTATAGGCTGCCTCACAAACACAATCCTGTCCAGATTTACCTACAACTACTCCATAGGACTGAGATTAGGGCTGCACTAAAACATGAACTTTGTTATCCTGAAGCCACTTTATAGCTATTTTGTCTGAATGCTATAAGGTTATTTTTCTTTTGGAAGATCAATCTGCACCCAACCTTTAACTTCATGACTGACTTTCTTTTCAAGTCAGTGTGTCTAATACCACACACATAACAATAGAAAATCTTAACTAAAACAGCTTGAGTTGTGGAATGTGTGGTGTCCAGTTGCACATCAGAAGCAACCACACACAAACTGATTTCACTCACCAGCATTCAGAAGTCAGACAGTAAATCCCACAAAACTTCTCGAGATCAAACGTGAGTTCAACATCACATGCTGTGAGATTGGGCCAAGACAATCCAACAAGTTGAATATCCCCAATTTTAGATCGGAGCAGTCCTGGCGTTCATCTTATCCTAAGAGCTATCCAGATAACACCTATTATGCAAAAAGAAAAAAAAGAAACCAGGAATGGCTCAAGCACTGTTTTTACACCACTGTAGGTGAATCCCAATTTACCTCCAAGCAGAACTTCAACTACATCCAACTAGCACCAAAAATCTGATCTTAAGTTGGTGACCGATTCAAGAGACAGCCTACACCTCTGACACATCCAGATGAATGTTAAATTGTAATTTAACATTAACATAAGCTGTTGTTAACTGTTGTTAACTTGAGTGACATTCGTTATTTCAGCATGTCTTGCATACAGAAAAATATCTATATACAGTGTATTTTCCTGGAAAATGTTTCTCCCTCTTGTTTTCTCAGCTAACCATAAATAAAATTGCTTTTGTAAAATTGTGACAATACCTGCATAAACATTTTTAGAATTAACTATGATATTCAGTAAACTATTGATGCTAAATTGAAATTAATTCTCTATAGTTTTATCTAGAATATTTAATTCAGATATGACTTTGTATAATTTTTATCAATCAAATTGATGGAATTTTTATGGAACCATGTGAGAGGTTAATAACATGGAGGTAAAATTTATATGGGTGCTTACTTATACACCGCAGCTGTAGGATTTTGTGTTGCTGTCTGGCTTATTGCTGTTTACTTTAACAGTCCATGGCATGTAAATCACCTGCATCACATTTTTATGCTGCACTGCTTGTTACTGCTTTCAACCACTGACTGGGCTTTCAATACAATGTTATGTTGTATCCAGTCAGGCTTTAAAAATCTCTCAAGGTAAATAATATTAAAGCAACAAATTAAAATGCTATCTTAAATGACTCCATCAGCTAAACCAGAGGTCTCTCAAATTGCAGTCCTGAGTCCCACAACCTTTTGATGTGCCCCTTGTCCTACATACTTGAATTAAATTTGTAAACTGCGTCACTAGCATGCAGTCTAGTTCTACAGAGCTGAACTAATATTGGAGCCAGGTGTGCTGAGGCAGAGAAACATCAAAAAGTTGCAGGAGGCCAGCCCTTCAGGACTGGAGTTTAAAACCAGTGAGCTAAACACAAGCTCTTAAAATCATAGGAATGTCAAACTATACTACTTCTAGTATACATTTTCACATGCTAAAACATGGTACACTGTTTCATATAATTCTGTCATGGCTAAAGCAGAACTATGGTAAATATTTTTCCTGTTAGTGTTGCTTCCAACATGCCAAAATCAATTATTGGGATGTTGCTTTTGAGAGGTAATCAAAGTTTGCTATTGGTGAAACATTTACTGCAAATATTCTCTGTACTAGTCTTACTATTTGGCCTTATTGTTTGAATCTGAACTACTGTGACATTCATATATTGACAAAAGCTTGTCTACTCTCTTCTGTTGACAGCAAACATAGGCACAGTGAGCCCATGTCAAACCCAACCTTCTCCTACTATAAAACAGACAAGAACATTCAATTCTATCGCTGGACTTCCCCCCCAGGTGTGATGAAGATACTGTGCATTATCATCGTCATCATGTGTGTGGCCATCTTTGCATGTGTGGCCTCAACTCTGGCATGGGACTATGACATGAGTGTCATGGGAGGTGGAACTGGCCTGATGCCGGGTTTAACCGGTGGATACGGCAGCAGCTACAGCAGCACTTACGGTGCTGGTCTTGGTGGCAATTCTGGCAGCTATGGCTATGGAGGAACACAAATTGACCCCAAATCTGGCAAAGGCTTTATCATTGCTATTGCAGCCATTACTTTCATAGCCACACTGATCATATTTATCTTGGTGATTTCAAGGCAAAATGCAGCCCGGTCTTCAAAGTTCTACCTAGCATCCATTATTATCTGTGCCATTTTAGCATTTTTGATGCTTATTTCCACCATCGTCTACCTGGTGTCAGTGAACCCAACTGCACAATCCTCAGGGTCTATGTTATACAACCAGATGATCCAGTTATGTGCACAATACCAGACACAGACTCAGGCCCAGGGTATCTTCATCAACCAGTACCTTTACCATTACTGTGTGGTGGAGCCCCAAGAGGTGAGTTAAATTATTTTAATGCAATTACTTTTGAGACTGTGAGAGCAGTGCACAAGCTTTGTGAAATTGTTTTCATTTTGAAAATGTATGAGTATGTTTTGTGTACAGGTAAAAGGGAAAAAAAATGTGTGTAAATCCAAGCATCGTAAATTCAGTACAAATCTTACTGGACCTAGATTAAATAATTCTAATTTTAGGATGAATACAGGATTATTAAATTTCAGGTGAAGCAACACTTGTATAAATGAAGAATTATTTCTCTTCTATTTCCAACCATTGGATATTAGCAAATTTATTCCTGTTTCATATATAATCATAAACTTTGAGAGCTCTTAATTTATATTATTTATCCTTGATGTTGGTAGTAGTTCAATTTTACACATGTGACCCAGGCAACATTCAACTTCTCTGGTCACACAATGCTATTTTTATTTACATCTTGTGTAGGGGTTTGTTTTAGCTTTAATAAATGGTATATTTAGTATGTTGATGGTAAACACAATCAATTACATTCATTGGCTGTTGTTGGAATTTTATGTGATCCCTCACAATAAGACTACATGGGTTTGACTAATGTGCTGAATGTGATGGACAACTGTCCATCGTATGTTACATTATGTTGGCGTACAGTAACTACACAGCAAATTTGGAAGTGTTCCATCAACTCCTACAGAGTTAAATTCAACACTTTGAAAGTGTCTATATTGGTCCACTCTGGATGGTGTAGAAATTACGCTTTTGAAAGTGTTATTTGTGATATAGTTGAATCAACACTCACAGTAGTTGAAATCAAACACACTTTCAGTGTTAATCTACCCAACACTAGTGTATAATGTCAAAGTTAACACTATGAACGTGTTAATCTAACACAGAATGGTGTAAAGTATATATTAACATAGAAATCTGAGTTTTGAAATACTACTGGCAGAGTATGCTGTGGTGGCGTAGGGGTTAAGTACAACCCACATATGGAGGCTCTAGTTTTCAATGCAGCTGTCGTGGGTTCGCTTCCCAGTCTTCCTCTTCTCTCATTACTCACTCTTTTTTTTTTGTCAATTTACTACCAAAT